ACGATTTTCATCCCAGATTGAGTTTGCAAGTTTTGGTACACCCACCGGTCGCTGCGGCAACTTAACACTTGGCAAGTGTCATGCAGAGAACTCCACCAGCATCGTGTCAAGCTATTGCCTGGGAAAGTCCCAGTGCACGATACCAGTGAATGCACATGTCTTTGGTGATCCGTGTTCACAAGTCATCAAGCAGTTCGCTGTGCAGGTATGTTGGCTGCTGCGATAAGAGGACAGGTGGGTGTGGGTGTTAGGGGGGGGGGGGTGAGGGGCGAAAGAGGGGGGCGTGTTTGTGTATGTGCCTGTCTGTGCGTGTGTACGTGCGTGAGTGAGCGAGCGAGTGAGTGACTGAGTGATTGAGAGAGAGAGAGAGAGAGAGAGGTGTGGGGGAGTTGAGTGAATGGCTGTGTGTATTTGTATTTCTGTAGTGTGTGTGCGTAAGAGATATGCGGGAAAGGGAGGGGAGCTTTGGCATTTCTGTAATGATAAAAGGAAAATACATCTGTATCCGAAAGCTGTAATTTGTTGGGCTGTACATACCAAAAGCGTTTCCTAGTACAATGTGATTATGGCACTTTGCAGATAATTCCTGTTGCTCGCATCATAGTATGACTTCCTACAGTTGCAAGAATGTGGTATCAGTTTTATCATGTGACTTTGTGCATGATAGAGGGTGGTGGGAATTCCTACGGACGCGGAAAACTTGGCCTCCAGCCGATTTTCTTCCAAACGGTGATTTTTGTTTTTGTGCTTGATGTAATGTTAGATTCAGTGCGACCCACCAGTCAACCACACCTACTGGAACTTCACTCTGATTGATCCCATGACGGAGGACTTCATGAACGCCACCGAGAACCACACCGCCATCATCAACTTCTCCACCATTCCCGTCTGGTTGTACGAGACGCCAGATCGCGTCCCGTATCCGGATAATCCCGGTATGTCTACAAAAACGCGGTAACATACTGGACAGCCCTGATTGCGCTTTAAAATAGCCTTCACTACTCCATTGCAAACTCAAACATCAGTGCAATCTCTACCCAAAATTTCCTAAACCTGATGCTACAATTAACCTCCATTACATTGGCTTCTGCCATTGGACGGTGAAATAAAATAAAATGGGAACGACCTACATTTGTTCTCGGTGAAATCTGATCCAAAATGCACTCTTGGCACCCTCAACTTGCACTGCCCTTGATGGCATGAAGTGATACAGCTGCTGCTATTCGTGCACAAGTGCAAGCACAGTAGTGTCAGTGGAAATGCTCGAGGACGCCAGTTTTGCTGTTTGGGTAGGGTTTTACCTAGCTTTTGTTGCATTTTACCTAGCGCAACTGTATATATACTATTATCATTATCATCAGCCTTTTCGCATTGACATCACCAAGCAAGCTTGGCTAGTCTTCGCTTAGGCCAAATGCACCCAAGTGGAATGAAGTGTAAGGAACCAGCAGGCTCAACGAGGTGTAAATAGTAATACGAATGTACTTGTACGACCAAATGTTTCCCTGAATTCAGTGGCCAAATAAGCAGTAGTTGCCTGTTCAAAATGCACTGACCACTGCTTGTCCTGTCCTTGTGTGAATTATTTCTATAGACATGGTTTTTTTGGATCGTTTTTGTTCGTGTGATTACAGACGCAGAGCCACCCGGTCGATACAGCCTTGGCAAAGTGCTAGTGGACCCAAGCGGAAAAGATCTCGGAGATTACTATGGAAGACTGGTAGGTCAGGGGCGTCGCACACGGTATGGTCACTACGGTATTGACCGTACCACTATTTGCCCCAAGTACCCCGTGATCAATTAAATGCACTGATTTGGGCTCTAAATTTCCTAAATTTTCAGCTCAGCCACCCCTCCCCCCACAAGTAAATTGTACTTCAGATGGCTGACCGTACCACACTAAAATACCTTCCGACGCCCCTGTAGCCGGCTGTAGGTCAAGCTGTTGGCATGTTCAATGAAATCCAACATCATACAGTACTGCCGGGCGCCGAAGAAAGAACGACCAGACTAGAATTTCACTAAGCACAGCATACCAATGTATACACGGTGACTCAACTGCGCATACTATGAAACCGGAAAGTTGAACAACCAAAACGTGTAGCGGTTTTGTAATTTTAGCATGATAACGTGCCGAAAGTTTAACGATGGCTACCTGGCCACCACCCACCCCACCGCTAGGCACTGCACCTGCCGCTAAGGTTTACCGGGTGTTAGCGACCGTCATGAGTTCCCTTCGGGAACGGACATGATAATTTACTAAACTTACCTGGCCACCCAGAACATGCATCGATGTCTGCGCATCTTTACACAGACGTCTCGAACCGGGTTCGCGATCACGTTTCTTCGAATAACGAAAAGAATTGGTCCTTAAAACGTTAGACTTCGAGACATGTTAGACTTTCCGGGTTGACAGTGGACTGTAGTACATAACAATAAGAACGGTCACGGCTGGGAGGCTGACCCCCATGCAGTTCTTCGGCGACCGACAGTAGTGTAGGTATGTTACCATGGTGATGGTGTTGACTGTGCTGCTGCTGCTGCCATACATGTGTGTATAATGATTGCACATGTGTTGCGTTGCTGCTGCCATACATGTTTGGATAATTATTGATGTTCCTGTCCTTTCTTCTTAGACTCGGGTGGAGAGCCAAGGGTTAACTTGTCGCATGAGCTGATTGTCAAGTAACTGGTGGTGTTAGCGGATAATATAGCGTAACTTGTAGCTCTTTGGTGCTCTTCTCTTCTTTTCTTGTTCAGGTTAGTTACTACACACAGGGTGGGTTCACGGATGAGTACGGTGTGCAGCATAAATCAGACTACAACTATGATTTCCAATATTGGGAGTGCCTCAACGAAGTCGAGGACGAGCACCGCAACACGCCGGAGACCTACACCAACGTCTACGACTACATGGTGCAGGGTATCCGTCGCCATGCTGACCCGGAGCGCAAGATGAAGTTCGTCGGCATGGCACTGCAGCAGCACAATGAGTTTGACTGGTACCGGTACTTTCTGAACATCTCTAATCACGTCTCCGATGACATTCCGCTGGACATTGTCAGTTTCCATTTCTACGCGCATTGCTCCACGCGAACTGATCCGACCGCCTATCAGGAGTTCTTCCCCAGAGCCGACATGTTTGTAGAGGAGGTGAGAACCCTGATGCTGTGCACCGGGGAGATGCAAAATACCTACTCTCTGTCATGCACATAGTTTGTTGTTTAAGCGGTATACAGTCAGACTGCACACATCCGTTTTCTGCAAAATATCCGGCTAGGCGAGGGAACCGGATAATCGAACACACATACTGTATGTAAACTCGGAGGGAGACACTTACAGAAGAAACGCTTTTCGTCCCTCTCAAGTGTGCATACTGTATGTATGTGTGGCATATACTGTAAATCGGTAACCAACGATTTTCTTCCGGATGGCGAGGGATCCGGATAAAAGAGGACCGGTTAAGCGAGATCTGACTGTATGTTCTGAAGTGTGTTGCTTGATCGGTTCCGTGGACTTGCAGTTTGTTGCTTTTCGATCGGTGTGTGTACATGGAGTCTGTTTCTTGATCGGTATGCGTGCATACAGTTTGCTGGGTATGGCCGGTAAACCTACTTGTTTATATTGTACTTTGATATTAAATTTAGTATCCATGGACCTTCAACTTTTGTTCAACAAGTGAACGACCACCGTGCCACCAGACTGCCTGTTATCGAGACCAACTAGTAGCGGAGTAGCGGTCAAACGGGTGTTCTAGGTGGAACGCAGGAAAATCACGTGCAGTTTCTATGTTATTTTCCTACGTAATTATCTAGAGCGAAACCTTGTTTTCTGTTGTTGTGCACATTTCTACTTCCCTTGCTCAGTGCAAGAAGATCATTGCTATCCGAGATGCTCTATCACCGCACACATTGCTGGATGTGGATGAGACTGGCGTAATTTTGCCTGGTGACAATAATCTAGATGCTCCGATGTTCCCGCCGATCTTCTTCAACGCCGCCGGTGCCTTTTATGCATACGTGTTTGGCCGACTGGCTGAAATAGGTAAGCGTGTGCTTGTGTGTGTGTGTGTGTGTGTGTTCGCACGAGCGTGTGTGTGCATGTGTGTGTTAGATGTTGCGGTATTTATTGTGTGAAGGAGGTCGGTCAGAGAGCGCATTGGTGGAGGTGGAACAGCTCCATCAATGAACAGGCTGAAAGCGGCCGCTTCTACTCATGTTATTTTCACAAGAGTGTTGCGTAATTTCACAGTTATGATCCAGGGGCAGATTTCATTGCTTTGAAGTCTTTGCTATGGCTTTGCTGAGAATGTGGGCTGCTTCCAGCAGGGCATGTAAGCATGCCTCCAGACTGACCTATGTGCATGTACAGTGTATGACTGCAATGCAGGATTACCAACTCCTATACACATTGTGTTGAATGGTCTCTGCTGGGATGACAGTTACACCATAGCTCAGTGGTTAGCGCATTGCTGGCCTCACGTGAAGCTCCCTGGTTCGAGTCCTGGTGGTGACAGTCAATTCGTTCTTCAGACGTTTCCCGTTTGCATCTTTCGCTCAAGCTGTACATACTATGTAGATATGCAATAGCCGTCCAAGGCAGCAGGGAAGGAAGCACATGCTAGCCCCTGGCGGATAATGCTCGGAAAGTAGTAAAATCGGCAGAACCAGACAAACCTTATGTAGCTGCTCCAGTTCTTTATCCATAACCAAACACTGCATGAAACATACAAGAAAAAGTGCCACATTCTGCCAATTAGTGTGCCGCAAGTATCCGCCAAGAGCTAGCACACAGTTCTATAATTATATTATATTAGAGAATAACACACTTTGTAGAATTATTATTGCACAACAAGAGAGAGAGAGAGAGAGAGAGAGAGAGAGAGAGAGAGAGAGAGAGAGAGAGAGAGAGAGAGAGAGAGGGGGGGGGAGGGAGGGAGGGAGGAAGGGAGAGAGAGAGAGAGAGAGAGAGACGGAGAGAGAGAGAGAGAGAGAGAGAGAGAGAGAGAGAGAGAGAGAGAGAGAGAGAGAGAGAGAGAGAGGGGGGAGGGAGGGAGGGAGGAAGGGAGAGAGGGAGGGAGGGAGCGAGAGAGAGAGAGAGAGAGAGAGAGAGAGAGAGAGAGAGAGAGAGAGAGAGAGAGAGAGAGAGAGAGAGAGAGAGAGAGAGAGAGAGAGAGAGGAAGAGAGATAGAAAGAGAGAGAGATAGAGAGAGGGGGGGGGGGAGCTGTGTTGCAACTCCGAGTTTCACGTCGTCACGATTATCAGGCAACAAGAATTATTATTACCTTTGATAGGCTATGAACCGAGTCTTTACCACTGCTCTGTATTATTCTGGTATTTGTTACAGGCATCGACATCATAGGTGAAAGTCAGCTGGTCGGTTACCCTGAGCTACCAGAGTTGCACCTTCAGCCACAGTTCCCCAGCGTAGCCATGCTGAACTGGACCAACGGCCTGGGAAACGCTAGATATCACGTACTCAAGGTTCTCATTGAGAACTTCCAGCCCGGTGATAAACTGGTGAAGACCACCTTCACGAATGGTTAGTACAGTGCACTCAACTTATAACGAACTAGCATTATAGCGAACTTCGTGATCTAGCGAACTGTAGTCCATGTCTCCCAGTTTGAGCCAACAGTGTGAGTGCATTTCTATTATAATAAACTTCGGCTATAAAGAACTAATTCTCCTGCACAATGGTGTTCGTTATATCAGGAATTGACTTTTCGCTGTGGGTTTTCGAATGGCTCATACGCCGTGGGTTTCCGAATAATGACTGAGTGTGCGGTGGTTGTTCATGACTGTTGTGTTATTATGGGTCAACGCCACACTGAGTACTCTCGTCAGAATTATGCAAGAAGTCCACTTATTACTATGAGCACAGCCCTATTGGGAAACGTGTGTATGACAATATAAACCAAGACAAAGGAAATTATAGGGACGATGTGCCCATGTACTGGGAGCAACTCGACCGAGCAGAGGTCTTTAGTTGAGGACGAACAAATACAATCTGGAATGAGGCATTTAGCCTGCACGAGTAGGTAGGGTGTGTTGCTGGAAACACCATAATGTCATAATGATTGTGAAGAGCCAATGACACCAACATGACTGAGGAGCTAATGTGGTGGGCAAGTCCTTGATCACACCACACACATAGCAGGATCGTGAGAATATTGTTGCAAGTCGTTCTCTCCGTCTTCCAAGTTCACAGCATAACTGTCCAGGCTGGACATGCCTTTCAGGTTTACTTATGGATCACTCTTTTACTGATCCACAATCAAGTTGAGATCATTTTCATGTGTGTGTGTGTGTGTGTGTGTGTGTGTGTGTGTGTGTGTGTGTGTGTGTGTGTGTGTGTGTGTGTGTGTGTGTGTGCGTGTGCGTGTGTGTTTGCGTGTGTGTCTGTGTGTTCGCACGTGCATGGGTGTGTGTGTGTGTGTGTGTGTGTGTGTGTGTGTGTGTGTGTGTGTGTGTGTGTGTGTGTGTGTGCATGCATGCGCACATGTGTTTGGTATCCGTTTAGCATCCGGCTACGATCCAGTGTTCTGCGGCACTGTATACAACGAAGACACGATGAGAATAGAATGCAGAGAGCAAGACGCCACCATCGACAAGATCATCTTTGCATCGTACGGCACTGCTCAGGGTCGCATTTGCGGGAACTACAGCGCTGGCACCTGCAATGCGGCCAACAGTACTGACATTATGGAGAAGGCATGCTTGGGGAAAAACATGTGTGCCATAGAAGCAGATCCACTGGTGTTTGGAGACCCGTGCCCCGGAACGTTTAAGCACTTTGTCGTTGAAGCACACTGCAGCAAAGGATCCGGGACAGCAACAGGAGGCATGACAGATGGGATCTATGCTCAGGCGTTCCTGGCAAATGACGGCTCTCATCACCGTGTGTTGCTGGTGAACAAGACGCCCGATTCGCAGAGTGTCATTGTGCCTGGAGCAAGCGGATCTACGGCTATCATCGTGGATGATACTCGTCCTACTGGTCCTGCTATCAACACTAAACTTACCAGTGATACTGTGCAAATGAGACCTTATGCTGTCTTTGTTGTTATTATGTCAGAGTAGTAGTGACAGAGTGTAGTGAAAATTCAGTGACTCATGATGACATCATTGACATGTCCGCATCAGTAATCAGTAAAAAAAAAGAAAAAAAAGTATTACTGATACAGATATGTGAATGATGTCATCAGGAGTCAGTATCCTTTGAGTGCAAACACTGCTTGGAGGAACTTGGACGTTTTTTTACTATGTATTACTGAGCTCTTTCTTGTATACACATGCCCACAAAGATGATTCGAAATTGCATGACATCATGTCATTTTTCATGAGATCTCAGTTTAATTTAAGTTGAACAGTTCTTGAATTTCACTTCCATGACTGTCAGTGCTGCCAGCATGCCACAGTAGAGGCACAGATCTCCAGTTACGTGGATTTTATTATTTATATATTTTTTATGAAAGTGAGTACATGTAACCATTTTAACAGACCGGGATGGTGGTGGGGATCATCTAGTACTGGAGGTCAGATACGGTCTCAGCAGCATAGCTAGATGGACGGGCCACAGGTAAACTAATACGTATTAACGTTTGTAGAGGCAAATGTATAATTATGGTGCTCGACTAATGCTAGTGAGTATTCTATCTATGTACATGTACATTATAGTTTGTCAACCACTTTTAAAGCAGGTCTGAGAAAACCAGAAAAGCATTAGTTAGGATCATTTTGCTCTCTAACGTTGTAACAGAATTTTCTATAATCCCGCTTAGTATAAATGCTGCATTGTCGCAAGCAATTCGCAGATTACAAATTCTGTAACAAAACACTTGATATGATGCAGCCGCAGCAGCTCGGCAACCCCGACGAGAAAACGAGATGGTAGCTATTCCAAACTCTTCGAAACTAATCCACCTCTCCCATCGGATGAGGTTGTGGAGTTTCGAGGAGCTTCGTTTTTCTGAAGAGGCCAATGAGGCCACCTCTTCAGAAAACGAAGCTCCTCGAAAAGTCAAAGAGTGACAATTCGAACGCGCCCTTAGTATTATGTCGAGATGAGCTTGAATGGAGGAATTTTAGTATTATTGGAAATAGCGTAGGCTGCAGCAAGCACGTCGTGGTCCTGGAGTATGGCTACTTTCCCGTAGTGGAAGCGGAGACAAGCACAACGAAATTTTGTCGACGGCTGAGAAAGAACTCTATTCCGTTTTATTGATGCACTAGCTCCAGAGCGACGCTCTTGTGAGGACAGGCTGCGGAGAAGCCAGAAACCTGCGGAGTCACGAGTGGAAGTCCAAACCACGGAAAATGAGGAGGACCGAGCGCGGGAGCCAGAGCCTTTATATTAGCAGTAGTACAAGTACCTGAATTGAAGGAGAGAACAAGACTTAGTGTGCTCAGCGGATAAACACTGCGAAGTCCTCAGGCCTGATGTTGTACTAGTATAGCTACTGTTGAAGCTTCACTTCTTCCGATATGAGCGTTTTATCAGCCCTGACTCTGAGCAACTGTATCTAGACTGGACTTAGCTCACTGTCAGAGACATGTCATTGTAGACCTTACTGAAGCCCTATGTATCCAAATGCCTGGCTCTCTTTTAAGAAAGCAGTTTGGTGCAGGCTCGCAAACTATGATTGAACCCCCGAGACGAAATGATAGTAGCCGACTGGCCCGAAATTTAAAAAAATCAGGGAGTGATCGAAAGTCACCAATTAATATGACTAGCTGCTAATGATGACGAACGCCACTCCGACTGGGTCTCATGGGAAAGTAACTTGCATACCCGTTTGGTTGAAGCGAGGCAACGGTATCCCATGTACTGAAGTCATGACTTGAACTATTGTGTCTCCTTCTGGGAGGATGTGGAACACAAAATAATGCCCGAATGTGACCGATGCACTTGTCTGAGGACATGTATGTTCTTCATTGTGGATCTTTCTGCGTTGGACCTAAACTACAGTTGGGTCACTACTATGCTTACAAATTCCATACAGCGGTGAAAGGACTTGTTGGAGCATCATCAAACAGTGCATTCACCTTCATCATACACTGGCTCCGTTGCCTACAGTAGTTCATATTTGTGACGTGGCGCGCTGGGACGATAGGTAAGAAATGGCGGGAACCTTTGGAGTGGTCATGATGCTGGTTAGCGACGGCAAATTAATGTTGATGTCAGGAACGGGAACGCACCCGAACTACTGTACAGATCAGGAAGCAATGGAAGAGTTGAATCTGTTCAATCCTCCATGCTGCGCATAGGGATACAAGCGTAAAAAATATGGCTACATTTTGAATGTGAACTGGCGATGGCGGCGTGTGGCGACGAACACAACTGCAAATTTAAACTCGGATGTTGAGCCCAATCACTGGTTACGTGGGAGGACAGTTAGGCATAACTCGTAACACTATGTCCTTTCTATTTATCCATGACAACTGTCACTTTTCAAATTTCAGAATTTCGAACACTATGCTTCGGCCTTCCGAATGGCTCACAGGACGGAGTTTAAAAAAAGTCAGTTAACTGTTTTATCTTTTAACTGGTGTTCGATTTAGAATGGCACAACGTATGTATGTATGTATGTATGTATTTATTTAAAAGGATTCTCCAAAAGCAAATGGATGCTTATCACGGAAGTCTCCCACATAAATATCGCAAGAAAAATGGGGAAATGGGGAGAGGAGAGTGGAAGATGAAGCATGGGAAGAAGGGAAACAAGTACCTAAATATCGAGGTATAAAAGCAGGAAAGAAATCGACGAGGGAAGAAATCACCTCTGCAGATAATAGCGGGACATTTAGATGAAAAAACCCAGCAAGGATTAATTTCAAGGAAAAAAAAATTCTCAAACGGAAAAGTTCGGAATTCCAGTCAGAGAATATCTATGCTGAGAGTAATGAGCCTTTAGAGCAATGCGAAAATTGACAGAGGACTGAACGCAGCGGATGTGTTCTGGAAGTTTGTTCCATTCCACAGATAAACTGAAGAGAGGGGATTTAAGGAAATGGGCGCCAGAACGAGGTAAAACTATAGAGGACGGGTGACGACAACTAAGGGATACATTGAATTTGAAACGAATTAGCAAAGACGGAAACTGGTAAAAGACATGATGAAAATACAGCAAGGACAGAATCTGACGACGCCACTTCAGGGATGACCAGTCACAAGTACGATTAAGAATCTGCTTCGGGGTTTCCCACTCAGGAGGGTGCCGGGTCTTACAAAGCAGATATGAACGAGCAGCAACGGCTTGCAGTCGGTCTAACGTAAGCGAATCTGAATGGGATACGGCGAATGACCAGACAGGGACTGCGTATTCTAACAGTGGTCGTACGTAACACTTGTAGAGCAAATTCACGGTTGAAGCAGAAAGGAAATGGGCCATATGGCGCAACAGAAAAACACGACTGCGAAACTTATGGGTGATAGATTTTATATGGTCAGAAAAATTTAGTGAAGGAGTGATAGTCACGCCGAGATGACAGTGGCTATCACCTTTCTGAATAGGCACACCGTTCATTGTCAAGGGGGATGACGGGCCGGGGGCTAATGCATATTTTTGAAAGGGTAGGTGGACGCATTTACTGGTGTTAAACGTCATGGCAGTAGCTGATGACCATTGACAACACCTATCAATGTCAGTCTGGAGCAATGCATGATGAATAGGAAGTGAGGTGTTTGCTGGAGAAACAAGAATTAAATTAGAGTCATCAGCAAAAAGGGATAGGGTACTAGAAGCAGGGGCATCAGGAAAGGAGTTGATGCACAGGTTAAAAAGAAGCGGGCCGAGATGGGAACCTTGGGGTACGCCAGCGGTGATGGGCAAAGGGTCAGAAAGAGTTTGGCCAATGCGAACGCAAATACTACGATCACTGATGAAGTCCTTCACCCAAGAACAGGCAGAAAGAGAACACCAACCTGAAACAGATTGAATAACTAAATGATGACTAACTCTGTCAAAGGCCTTAGAAAAATCAAGGAACAGCTGGTCACAAGAAGACTTAGAGTCAAATGCACGCGAAACAATTGAGGTAAGCTGTACCAATTGGTCAACTGTTGACCTCTTTCGACAAAAGCCAAACTGGCTGGAACTGATAATTTTATGGCTCTCAACAAACGAGTAAAACTGACGGCTAATCATAGACTCATACAATTTGGCAACTGCATTTAACAGCGATATAGGACGGTAATTGACTGGGTGAGAAGGATTACCTTTTCCCTTGAACACAGGTACAACAACGGCAGATTTCCACTCCTTGGGCTGAGTACTGGACAGCAAGCAGCGGTTGAAAAGGGCGGAAAGAGACTGTGACGTGACCTCAGCTGTTTCACGGAGGATGCGATTGTTCAGCAGTCCAGCGGTTTTACGTTGAATGGGAAGTCTGGATAGCGTGTCAAATACGGACTGTACAGAGAATGGTTGTATGGAGAACTTCACAGTGGACGTGGGTGTTAAAATACCAGCTGAGTGCAGGTCAGGTGTTAGCAGTGGCGCCTGGCTGTAGCTCGCAAACACTTTGGCTAGGAGATTCGTCTTTTCCGTATTACTCGTGGCTGGGTAGGCTTGGTTGTCATGGTAGAGGTCAGGGATAACCGGAGACGGGCGATTCACATTACAAAGGATCTTTGCTTTGCGCCACCATGTACGGGTTCCATGATGCTGAGCCATGTCTCTCGCCATCCTCTCGTGATAATGGCGTTTCGCCTTCCGGAGCAAGGAAGTAAGACAGTTACGTGAGAGTCTATACGCTATCCAACTATCTGTAGATCCGAGACGTTTGGCCTTGGCGAAGAGGCGATCCCGAAGCCGCCTCTGACGATGGTGAACAGCAGAGTACCAAGGCTTGTTCGATGGAAATGTGCTTCTCCGGACAACGGGAACAAACAACGATACAGAGTCTTCCAGCGCTGTGCGCCACAATGACCAGGCCTCATCAACTGTTTGCGCATTTTGGACGGCATCTAGCAAGGGTAGTTGCCACACGTGGTTGTTAAATGCTTGCCAGTCCGTGTGGGCAAAGTCGAGCCAGGTGTTTTGTGCAGAAGATATTTGGGCTGTGGAGCCTGCTGATCGGTTGTGGACGACATCGAAAACTACAGGACAGTGATCAGATACCGGTGGGAGGATGGTGAGATGGGAGACTGCTATTGGAGCATTAGTGATAACTAGGTCGAGTAGTGATGAACTCTTACCACTTGCGGAGTAGCGGGTAGGCTGTTGATCCACAAGTTGCGATAAGCCCAGATCATCCAGGGTGTCATACATGCATGTACCAGCAGGTGTATCAGGATCGGATGCTAGCCATTTCGAGAGGCGAGCGTTAAAGTCGCCAATGACAAATATGGAAGCTTGAGGACAAGATATTGATTGAATGCAGGTCCGGAGTGCGCTGCAGAACTGATCAGGTGGCTGCCAAGGAGGACGGTAACAACAGAACACAAACGTGGAGTTGGGGCGATGCTCTAGTTCTATGCACACAATTTCAATGGT